ATTAAAGTTTACCCACTACAAAGGCTAGAGGCCACTTGTGGTAGCGGGTTAAGTTAGAAGGCGATTTCTGCGTATAAGTGTGTAAGATGTCGGTTTACCCTCGCCTTGAACAGGTTAAGTTTCTAGCGATCGGGAAAACAACCTCTTGGAAGTTAGTTCCACAGAGCAGTGTTTCGAGGAAAGAAGCTGTTAGAGTAGAACTTACTTCTAACCGATGGAATACGGAGGGAATGTGGGTGGTTTGCTACTATGGAAGACGCCTTGTGTGTCCTTGCCGTGAAGGTTTGAATTGGAGGGCCAGGGGATGTAGTTCGTGCTAGCAATTTCCCGGGAAGCGACGATAGAGCAGCGAGAGTTATGGCAATTCCCGCCAGTGTGAGAGAGGTTACTGGGTGGAGAAGTAAACGAGCCTTTCTTTTTATTCTTACATCAATAATTAGAAATTATTCGATTTGCTGACAAAAATCCCCGCTCGACCAAAAGAGTGAATTAACTGTAAATTGCCGACACATCTGTTTTTTAAAATTAATTATGACCATAATTTATAAGTAAATAATGGTCCACAAAATAATTTCTATGTCTGATGATGACTAATAGAAACGTCGAAAGTACTTGCGTTTTTAAGGTAAAACTAATACAGTTTATAATTTTAAAAAAACAAGGATCATAACATTCATCGATTGATTACTGAGTTAATGCATCTTTAAAATTTAGTTAGCAAAGGGATTTCGCCATTTTATATTATTAACTTTACTAATTTACTTTTTTGTATGAATGATTCATTGGAATATAAATTAAACTGCACCACAAGATTTATACATACATATATATATATATATATATATATATATATATATATATATATATATATATATATATATATATATGAATTAGATAGGAGATATACAGGCTTGAAGATTGCGCTGCAGCTTGTAACAGAGTGAAAAAATGATCTCATTAAACTTTTTAACTCTTCTACGTGTTTCCTTTCCCTTTTAACATGCATTAGTCAATCCATCATCTTTTCAAATCAAAGTGTTATGTGCACCCATCCATACGTGAGAATCGCGCCAATATTCATTTTGCTTTTCCGATATTATTCTTTATTTCAATTGTTTTTCTTTTAGAGAGAAGCGAAAAATATATAACTTTTAACACGGCTTATTTTCTGCAACTTTTAAAAATTGTTTTTTTTTTTCCTTTCCTTCTAATATTTTTTACACTTTAAGCATTTGCTTGTGTTTTCCGGGTGTGTTTTTTAGTTGAATTCTGTTCCTATTGAATTTGGCGTATTTTTTCATTTTCTTTTTCCCTACTAAATTATTTATTTTCCTTGAAAATTCCTTTTAAATTTTTATCTATTTCTCTCCTCTAAATCCAAAGAGGAAATCATTATTTATTTAAATGTTGTAGCGTTTGGTATAGTACGTCACAAATAAATGTTTAAACTGCTAGGCAAGCTTAATTTGGGAATGATATTAGAATGTGACACGGCACAAAAATGAGACAATTTCAAACATGTCGCTGACATATATGCTGATAGATTAGATAACAATAATGATAATTGTTATGAGAGTTCTGGCTGATCCGAAAGAAGACATGAGTGCGTGTCGATTTATTAATTAACTTTAAACCCCATATTTCAATAAACCTTTGGACTATTGTCCTCATCTTTGTCGCCATATTTATTACAACGTTTCCTTCTTCAGGTGATTGGAATGTCGAACTCAACTCTCTATTTAGCTCACTGGGGTAGACTGTTCTAGTTCCACGTGCCATGTTTTAATGGATGTCAGTTGTCAGTTATATCCTGTTAATTCCCCTCTCCAAGTTCTCCATTGCCTTAACCTGGTATTGGACTCACTTTGGGTCCTGTTACTGGATCTAACTAACGCCTTTATCCCCTGTGCCATGAGGACATCTGTGTATGAATTTCTGGGTGTTATAAATCTAATGTCTTCAGCAACCATTTTTGGTCATATTGTAATTTTTGCTGTTATCATTGCTTGATTTTTACCAGAGCTCATATTGCAATTTTATTTTGTTATTATCGCTTTTCTCTGGCACACTTTATTACTGGTTCCCATATTGTATTCATTTCTATGCTTGGTCGGCTCAAGAGATTTTTGTGGCCTAGCATATGTGCTGATTCCTTAAGTTTACGAATTTCCCAATGGTGTTCTTTGTCTATGATCTCAACCTGATCCCACAGAGGGCGGTGATCTCCCTTCTCTTTCCATATGTGGTCAGTCAAAGACAAAGATAAGGACAATCGTCCGAATAATGTAAATAGTTTACATGATACCTCATCTCAGAAATATAGAAAAACCTTTGGCTATTTATTTACAGTGTTGCCCTTCTCTTTTTTTTTTTCATTTTCCCGACATTAGTCTCCGTTATTTCGAACTGAACGCTTCATTTCGCACACCAGGGAAGATTGTCTACGTGTCGTGATTCTTCCGCATGTCTCATTTATCGCTTTTAACTTAACGCTCCACTGCAGAAGCTAGGTATTGAACTCACAACTCTCTTGGTTAAGTCACTGGATCAAACCAACGCTTTTATCTACTGAGCCATGTGTCCAGTGTATGAACTTTTGGGACTATTAATTTAATGTCTCAGTAACCGTTTTTACAAGAGCTCATATTGCAAATTTTGTTGTTGTTATTGCTTTTTGCAATCACCTGAAGAAGGCTGGAGAGTACAACAGCCGAAACGTCGTGAATATGGCAATAAAGATGAGAACCACAGACCGAACAATGTAAATAATTTAAATAATTACAAATATAGACAAATCCTTTGGATTTTACGACTATTCAAGAGCTTTATCTGAGAGTAAACTGCCTGCATGCGGATAGAATATGTATTTAAGAAGGTCCGTAATCCAAGATGTTTCTTCCCTCGCACTTCTCGCTTGTGGAACTCCCTTCCGGTCTCTTGCTTTTCTATCAACTTTGATCTTGAAAAATTTAAATGCATTGTCAATAGCCTGTTTTATGTTTATTTAAATCTTGTTCTTTTATTTTCCTGTCGACATAATATACATATATATATATATATATATATATATATATTTTTTTTATCTCAGATGTTTTCATATTTAGTTACTACTAGCGTCTTAACGGTTTTATTGCCTTACTTGGGGTAAAATGATTAAAAAAACGATGTCCTCTTGCCGGATTTATTTAACTTTTGTAATGAGGCAAATATAAAGAACAAGAAAACCTGTAAGGATTTATTATAAATGGGCAACAATCTTAGCAAAATATTAACATCTTGTTGATGGCAGACACAGAAAGGAATGCCGCAGGAAATCTTTGAAAATGTATCAAGGAAAACAAATAAAACATTTAATTATTAACTGTAAGTAAACACAACGTATGATCATCAAGTACCTTCGAAAATTAGAGCTATGGATGATAGACATCAGAATCGTACTAGTATAGACATTTTACTAAGGGTAAACAAATTATTAACAGGCAGGAAAATGTCGTTTGAAACCAAGGAATTAATGCTGAACTGCTATGTTATATCAATCGTCTAAAATGCTAGAGAATTCATGAAGATTTCCTCAAAGATGAAGATGAAGATGAGACTTGGAACAATGTGTTTCTGCCGAAGAATACGGAAATCCGATGGAGGTAGCATGTGATTAACGTAGAAGTTTTTAAATTGAATGAATCGAAAAAAGAAATCTTCTACAGAAAATCAGGAAAAAAAACAGTTGAAATTCCTGTGACAAATAATGCAGAAAGAAAACTTGGAGAATTAAACCGTCACAAGAGATAGTGAAAGAAGAGGGAAAACCGTAAATAACTTGTTTGAAGTGTTTATGTAAATAAATGACAAAGAAAAGAGTTGAGAAGAGGCTTCGGAAACAAACGTTGCTTAAAATCTGCTCCTTTTATTAATGCAAATTACACTGGTAACTGGAGCAGATGTTACACAACAGTTAATATTACCTGTTAACGTTTTCTAATTTGTTTTTGTAGCAGTTATTTGGGTATTATGTACTAGTGAGCTAGCCTAAATGAGTTGACTCATTTTGTAGTTCACCAATAGAACGGTTAACCAATCAGAAAGCTCAAAATATTCAATGCGACGTGTATAAAGGCAGCCATTTTTTTCCTCCCAAATTGTCTGCACTGCCAACCTGATATCGAAGACTTAAAGATTTACTTAACAACCGCTACTTTCTCTGAATCTTCACTGCCGACCTCTGATATTGAACAGATTATGGACTTCACTGGATTCCATATTCAGAGACTGCGGTAAACATGGTCAACAGTTTTTTTTTTAACAGCGCGCTGATCGCAGAGAGTTAAACGGCGGCAACGGGGTCTGACGGTAGATGCTGTAAGATTTTAGGGGGCAGCTTTTTGAACCATTGAAGCCGCAGCTTAACCACAAGAGTGAATGCAGAATGGAAAAGCAAGCATCGGGGTGGCAGAGTTTAAGAATCATTCTAATAACTGCATAAAGTTTTAACTTTGCTAAAAGATTCGTTAGGCGACAGGAAATGGAAAATTCAGACTAATTTTTGTTTCAAACATTTTCGCCATTAACAAAACAAAAAACGATACAAATTTAAAAATACGAATAAAACAAAAGGGAAAATAGTTTTGCAACCAATAAAAGGGAGTCAGATTATCTTGAATTTGTGAAATAAATGGCTTATGTTGGAATTGAAAATCACAGAGAGCCACTCAGTTTCCTGAAGACGAAAACCTGACCTGTTACTTTTAGATTTTTGATGTTAAATTTAATAAATTTTCAATGACTTAATTCATTGCCGCGATAGGGGTTGTTTTCGGAGAGCGTTATTCCACTAAACCAATAGCTAAACACGTTTAAAAAGGTCAAAAGGTACCCTTTTTAACAGAGGATGGAAAAGTCTACGCAAAAATCTAACTACACATTGAAATCGCATTAAAAAGGCTAAGTACAAAAGAAATGTACAAAAAGAAACAAAGGAAAATTACAGGAAGAAACATAGAAAATTACCAAAAGAAACAAAGAAAAATGCACAAAAAAACAAAGAAACGTACAAAAAGAAATAAAGAAAAGTACAAAAAGAAATAAAGAAAATTACTAAAAGTAACAAGAAAAAAGTACAAAAAGAAACACGGAAAAATGTATAAGAAGAAACAAGGAAAAAAAGAAAAAGAAAAACGTACAAAAAGAAACAAGGAAGATAAATATAAAGAGAAAGAAAGAAAATGCACAAAATAGAAATAATGAAAAACTACAAAAAGAAAAGAACAAAGTACAAAGGAAAACAAAGAAATATATACAAAAACAAATGAAGAAAAAGTCCAAAATGAAACAAGGAAAAAAGTACAAAAACAAACAAGTAAAAAGTACAAAAAAGAAAAAAGTGCAGCATTGTTAATGAATGTCAGTCCTCATACAATGCGGGGCACAATCCTGGTATTTAGGGTCGTGTTTGCCCTGTTAATTTAGTTATAATTGAGAGGGGTAAGAAGAGATATTTCTAGGCAGTTCTGTACAGCTTAAACAGAAAGTAAGCATAAAATGCCTGAGAGTAAACTTGAACTCGGTTCTCCAGATACATGTCCTTTGCTACGATTTGCAACTTTGATATATTTCTTTGATAGTAGAACTGATTATTCTTGCGTATCGTTTAAATGGAATATAAGCTATTTTCTGTACGTACGTTCATCGGTAAGCATACAGATTTGTATGCCTGTTGGAAAAATTATTCAAGTTTTAACAATATATATATATGTATGTATGTGTATGTGTTTGTGTAAATACATATATATATATATATATATATATATATATGTGTGTGTGTGTGTGTGTGTGAAAATATATAGAAAATAGGAAGGAACTAGTTAGGTAAATAATCCAAAGTCCCTTAGTATTTTAGTTATTATTTTTAAAAAGTAGTGCTCGATACAAAAGTAGAGCATAAATAAAATAAAATAAAAATAAAATAAAAAAATAAATAAATCTCCATAGACATGCAAACTAGACGAGGGTTAATACATCTTCCGTTTCAAATTTAGGCACTCCTACCTTTCCCTGACTTGACATCTACGAAAGTAACTCTATACTGATACTTATCATTAACACCCGCCTACCCAACTTAAACAATTTGCCCTAGCTGTTACCATGGAAATTTTGATTTCAATTTTTAAAACACGTAAATTTAAGAAACACGTTATTCCAAAATAAAATTTCGCTTGAAGATGGAACAGAGCTTATTTTAACTCAATTTAATTTAAATAATTATATTGAAGTTTTCGGCTCTTGTTTTGAAACATGGGACTTCTTATGTCGCGATTTGGAATCATATTTTTAAATAAATAATTATATATATATATATATATATATATATATATATATATATATATATATGTGTGTGTGTGTTTGTGTAAATACATACATACATATATATATATATATATATATAGAGAGAGAGAGAGAAGAAATATACATTATATCTTAGATTAATTGAGAAATTACAGGTTTCATACCGAAGCAATTTTCAGATACTGGTAATATTTCCAGCACTTGAAAATTGCATCGCATGAAATCGGAGTCCTGCAATTAATGTAAGATATTATGTATATTTCTTTCTTTTATATATATATATATATATATATATATATTAAATAGCTCTGTTTCTTAACATTGAGCACTGTTTTTTCTTACACTATAGAGTATTTATATGTATTTGTATATGATCGCTTGCTCGTATAACTACCTATATTTACCCATTCAGTTTATATATATATATATATATATATATATATATATATATATATATATATATATATATATATATAACATTGAACCACTTTCTCCTACACTGTTTTTACCCACTGCAGAGAACCCTCCCTGCCTCCCATAATGTCTGACACTCAACTCCAGGTCAGCGTCTCCCTGCGCCTGCTTTGTCTCACACTGTCCGCTGACCTGAGATGGAACGAATACATTGAATCAATAGCTTCATTTACCGCGTGGAAATTTGGTTCCATGTGTCGCGCCAGAATGTTTTTCTCACCTAAGTCCATCCTTCAAATTTATAAATCAACCATTCACCCTTGCAAGCATTACTGCTGCTATATATAATCTGGAGCCACCGCTGTTCGTCTCAAGGTCCACGACAAAATCCAGAGACGGATATGATTGGTCCCGATCTGGCATCACGTCTACGCTTACTTTCCCCTGTGTTTCTGTTGTGGACCGGGAAGAGGTCCGAAAGAAAACTGGAACTCAGCAATTCAGTGAAAACGTATTATTAACAAAAAGAACGAATAGAGAAGCGTTGCACGTCCGTCTGACGGCTAAGTACAGTAGTCAACTCATTCATAATATTTAACATTTAATATTAAATATTAATATTTAATATTTGTTAGACATTTTCATGACGGTCGTCCTCGAGTATAGAATCCAGAGGATGGCAGTGAATATTTCGGAGACGGTAGGAAATCGTAGTGCAGGTTCGCAGTGGATATCGTAGCAAGCTAGCAGAGCGTGGTTCTTCCGTCTGTCCTGTTCGCCGGACAAGTTGCCTCTGGTAAAACAAAGATGGCCGCCTTTATACACGACGGATACAGTGTTGGGCGGCTTACGATTGGTCAACCTTCTATTGGTCGACTATAAAGGGAAATAAGTCATTTTGACTCGCTCACTAGTCATATACGGGATAGACCCAAAAAAACCGTAACAATCCCCACCCCACGAGGAATGTATGTGACACAAGGCTGGGTTTAATGTGGGTTTCTCCGAGCCCGCAGGCTCGGCCAAAAATATACCCTTTGAACCCGCCTAGACGGGTTCACGGCCTGTCTAACTCCCCGGACGAAACCTTGCCCTTCGGCAAGGCTTCGTCCGGTTTCCTCTCTGCCAAAGAAGAGAGTTCGACAGAAGTCGTACACCTAGTCAACCATAGTCAATTCGTTCACTCCTCTACAGTCCTCTTGCGAGGCATAATATAGACATAGACGAGTCTATTTTATCCATGAATGTAGGTCCCCATAACAGTTTCTAAAAATACTTTCACGGTGACTACTTTCGCTGGTTCCCAAACTACATGAATTTAAAAGTGCTACTAGGTGTTAGACATTTTCATGACGGTCGTCTTCGAGTATAGAATCCAGAGGTTGGCAGTGAATATTTCAGAGACAGTAGGAAAGCGTACTTTAGGTTTGCAGTGGATATCACAGCAGAGTGTAGTTCATCCTTCTCCTGGTCGCCTTTGGTCCTTCCGGTAGAGGAAACAAGATGGCCGCCTTTATACACGACGGATACAGTGTTGTGCCGCTTCTGATTGGTCAACTTTCTATTGGTCGACTATAAAGGGAAATAAGTCATTCTGACTCACTTACTAGTTATATATGTTATATACCCAAAAAACCGTAACACTAGGTTGGCATCTCATTGTCACCCTGTGGAAACTGTTATATGTCGCCGTTTCTTTTACTCCAATAGCTTCATGTGTTGCACTTCCCGTCTGTGGAACTCCTTTCCTCTTACTTGCTTCTCTGATAGCTATAATCTTCAATTCTTCAAGTACAATGTCAATCGAAATCTTCAGATGCCTTGATCTAATTCCCTCTCATCTCTGCATCGCCTTTTTACTTTTGTCTCACTCTCTGTAACCCCTTGTGTGCTAGTGGCACTTTTCCCTTGCTTGGGGTGAAATGCTTAAAAAAAAATTTAAAAGGTCGTTTCATCAGAGGAATGTGGAGTATCTTGAAGTTTTATAGCGATGTGATGTCACTTAGTTTCCAGCGAATGTTACTACTTAATACTGGCGGCAAAACGAAATAAATCACTGGAAGTTATATTGAATAGGCAAGCGTCAACATTTACGTTTTATCATTTTATAAAACGGGAAAAACAGATAACAACGACTACCATTGCGAGAAGAAAATGATTTATAAGAGATTTCTGTGGCTGACCATCGTCTTTCTGCTTTTTGTTCTCGATATATTTTCGACGCGACAACCAGATCAAATGTGTCATTGTTTGCGCTTGAATTGTTATGGCGGAAAAAACGTCGCGAAAGACAAGGGAAATAAATATTGAAAAGACAGGAAACTAGTACAGAGTTGAAAATCGAAAGTTACGGTGCAGACAAACGCAGAAGAACTGGCGGTGCCAGATAGCGAGGCAGAAGCGATCAAAAAAAAATAGCGCAGAATAATAGGAAAACATGTGACGAAGATATGGTGCCATATAGAAATTAAAACGAAAAAGGGAGAAAAAGGAGGGATGTGAAAATTCAATCTGAAAGGAAGAAAAAGGGAGGTGAAAGAGAAAAAAATCATTGATTGATAAAAAAACAAAATGAAGCAAGACGGAAAGTCAATGACGAAGAAAGAAAGAAAATGATTGATAAAAAAAGAATAAAGAAAAAAATCTATTGATGAAGAATGGAAGTGAGAAGGAAAAAAAAAAAGAAAGAAGGCTACTAAAAAAAGATAAAATTCGAACAAAGGAAAAAGGATGAAGAATAAAGGCGAACTGAAAACAAGTAATAAGAGAAGAAAAAAGAAAGAGTCAAAAATGTAGAAGTGAAAAAAGAAACGAAAAAGAAAAAAATAAGGAAAATAATAGAAGCAAAGGAAAAAATGAACGAAAAATAAGAAAGAAGAGGGAACGAAGAAGAAAGCGGAAGTAAACGAAATGAAATAAAATGAGAACAAGAAAAAAAAAAGTAATAAAAACACAAGAAATAAATACTAACAGACGATGTAAAAGGAATGAAACATCTGAATAAATTTAATAAAGAAAAGGGGGATAACTCAAGATGTAATTCTTTAAGTATGAACCTTTAAGTGTAGCGCCCTCTATTCATACAATCTTCTTATACTTTCTTGAGCAAGTAAGGTTTGACTCACAATGACTGTTTGTGCGTAAAGTTTTTCCTGCGCAGTGTCCGCCAGAATTGATTTGAGTAGACACATTTTTAGGAGGACGCGTTTTATATTGACAAAAGAAAGAAGATTCTTCTCTCATCAATAAACAAGCTCTCTTCGAATTACTGAAACCGCCGATTTTACACGTATACAGATAAAATTATTATTTTTTCTACGTTAATTGTCATTCAAAACTCGTGCTTATTCACAGATATTTATATGTGAATACCGAGATATACAAAGGAAGACGCTCATTTTTTGCGATATCCGCAGAGTTGAAAATACGTCGACTACATCATATGAAGATGGTAAAGAAATCCTTATTAAATAAGAGACATCTAGGAGATAGATATTTGCAGATACTAGTCTATATCTGTGAGATGAGGTATTATAATTAATTGCATTATTTACATTATTCGAACTGTCATCCTCATCTTCATTGCCATATTCACAGCATTTCAGCCGTTTTACGCTCCGGCCTTCTTCAGGTGATTGGATCACTGACATGAGGTATGATGATTACTTGCATTACTTACATGATTCGATCTGTTATCGTCATCTTCATCGCCATATTCACAGCATTTCGGCCGTTTTACGCTCTGGCCTTCTTCTGGTGATTGGATCTCTGAGATGAGATATTATGATTACTTGCATTATTTACAAGCTTCTAACTGGTATCCCCATCTTCATTGCCATATTCACAGCATTTCGGCCGTTTTACGCTCCGGCCTTCTTTAGGTGAATGGATCTCTGAGATGAGGTATTATGATTACTTGCATTATTTTCATGATTCGAACTGTTATCCTCATTGTCATATCCACTGATTTATTGATATTTGAATAGATTAATTAACAGAGGGAGATATATGCGAAGAGATGAATATACCTGGTGTCACAGTAAAATCGTTCAAATCATATAAAAGCAAAATTTTCCGTTTATTAGATTAAACTCTGAACCGTTGCATCTTTGAAATGATTAAAGAAGTCTTATTGGAATTCTCCTAGGTTGGACTCTACTAGGAGCAATAAGAATATATAATTACTCTCCGAGCTTAACGGAAGAATCGTGATGACATCGATCATAAACGAAAATGATATGTTCATTATTAATTGACCACAGCTAAGGATCGGAAGCTCATGAAGGTTTGAAATAAACTTCAATTATATATATATATATATATATATATATATATATATATATATATATATATATATTATTTCAGGATCATTTTCCAACTTATTAAAGATAACCCTTACCGTTTCTAACCTTCTAACTTCCTGTCCTGGAGTAACAAGCTGTCTCACAGGTTTCACGTACGATTTCATTTTACTGCTCTTTAAACTGTCATAGCAGAAACTTCTCTCTCACATGCCAAACATCTTATGAACTGTGTTGGCACTTTTCTAATTGATATCTTTAGCTCTAAGTAAAGACGATGATCCCTCTTCTTGTTGTGACCTCCCGATCCAGTTTTCCTTTCTATTGTTACCAATTTTTTAAATTATTCACCGTTCTCTTCATGGTTCTTGAATGGACTTTGAAGATGAAAGCCAGAGTATAAATGTTGGTACCATTAGTGAAGACCTCATCATTGCTCAGTTGAGAAGACAGTGGGGCTAACACAAACCAATCTTAACTTTTTCTCTTTTTAGCTCAATTGTTCAAAGGGTCTTCCAGCGATTCTTACTACAAATGGTATCAAGAGGACTAAGCGTCTTATTTGAAAACCTAGAAAAAAGAAACTTAATTATTTTGACATTTTTTTTTAGATATTACACATTATATGGGGTGAGCAAATATGCTGTGACACGATTTGGACAATTTTGCTGTTTCACCCAGTAAATTTATACTTAATGAAAAGAAGTAATAACAACGGCATTTGAAACTTATGTACATACTTGCACGCACACGTACACGCTTACACACGTACACACACGCCCGCACAGTCAAAAAGGAAAAAAAAATATCAACCCAACCTCAATAATAGTAACATCCCAATTAGCGCATAATTTAATTACGGCAAACTTAGCACAAAAATAACAAAAAACGTGTTAATGTGTCGGTCAATCGCGGAAACCTCCTCACAATTAAACCGAACAATTACGAAAAAGTTCGTCTATAAATTACGGAGTTGAGATATATATATATATATATATATATATATATATATATATATATATATATATATATATATACGTTATTTTATAAGATACATTTTAGGGGGAAATTTTTTTCTTCTAACGCGTTTTGTCCTTTAGAGCCTTATCGGACTAAAATTATGCTAACGTTGATGTGATTGCAATAAAAAAATAAAACTTCTCACCGTTCTCTCTACATCGTTCACATGTCTCGTCGCATCAACATAAACTTACTTTAGTCCAATGAGGTCATAAAGGAAAATGAAAACTTTCCCGATTCGTCATATATATATATATATATATATATATATATATATATATATATATATATATATAGTACGGCTATAATCCAATTCAGATGTTCTTAACATTCATTTTAAAAGAGAGCTAAATACAAAAGGTACAGCAAT